AAATTTTGTATACTGTTCAGAGCGAGATGGAAAAGTGCGGAACGTCGCCATTCGAAACCTAGTTTAAAAACAAAAGTTGCCACGTTGGAGAAGACATTGAGAAATAATCAATCGAACGAAGCATAAACTTCGAGATCCGTCTCTGAATATGACGTAACCATACCACCACGTGTTTGGTTCACAAAATTCAAGATACATCGGGTAACTGGGACCCACCAGAATCTCATTGACTCGGCCTACAATGCCGTAATTTCGCACACAACACATTTCCGATTGCCCAAAACTTTTTGTCACTTCCGGATTGATTTTGTCGTTCTCCTTTTTTTTATATATATATAAAATATAAACTTATGTAATTAATTTGTAAGAAAATCTTATAGAGTTTGTGGTTGTGAATATTAAGAGTTTTAGTTTCTTAAGAAAAACGACTGTTACAAAATAGTTCAACTTGAACAGAAACATTTTAGTTTCTTTTAGATTTATATGGTTGTTTTATCATAGAAAGAAAAAAAAGTCAAAAAGACTCATCGAAACCAGAACACTGATCAGCTTTGTAGAGTTTAGTTAAGCAATTTGACTTAACATGTATTGGTACATAGCTGCATATATAGTTGTTGTGAGTGATTCTTGTTATATATGGCAGCTTTGCTTTCTTTTCTTATCAATCTATTGCAATCTGCTTTGACTTATGCATACTTCCAAAATTATATATATCCATTAGTTTGGTTTTGGTTAGGACGCTATATAGTAGATGTTTTATTTTTCTAAGGACTTCCCTAGTTTCCGCATTTACCTAATTTTCTGATCGATTAAACATATCTCTTTTTGTTTTTATAATCCCACTATGTTATGTAATGATTTCTTTAACTCAAAATTCTAAAGCCATTAACAAAACGGAAGCTCGAAACTAATACAAACTTACAAAGCGTTTGAATCGGGTCTTCATTGGAAAAATTGTATCAATCAATGTAATTTAAATCATAATATTGGGGGTATTTCTATATTATTTATCGATGATGTAACGATGTAATTCTTGAATATTGAATTTGTTCGGCTTGGAAAGGGGTGTGGTTGGTTAGAAACAAAACCCCGTGCTGTTGTCATGGCTGAGCACGCAAAGAATCTTATCTACTTATCCTACGAAACGTATCACCGTAGGGTTTATTTTTTTTACTTATTATGGCTTTTTTCTTTTTAAATAGCAAAATATGGGAAAGCTGGTAAAAAACACACACACATAAGATAAAGGACCTAATTTGTTTAGGAGCTTAGCCAGCTATCGTGTAAAATTCGCTATCTAGTGTATTTTCTCTTGTTAATAATTGTTATTCATATAAGGTTATGAATTGGTGACAAAAATGCAAACGGTCAACATTATTCCAATAATGAGAAGAAAAAAAAGAACACAAATTTTATACAAACAAAAAGTTTTCAATAAAGAATTTCAATACCCAAAATTTATAATCGATCAACATCGTAATTTTTCCTTGATGATGCTAAATTTTTCATTTTTTATCAACCACTATAAATTTCATTTTCAGAAACAATTGTAAAATTCTTTTAAGGTTTTGTAAGAATATCCTTTTCAAAAAATCTTCTTCAAATCGATAATATCCATAAAATAAACAAACAATGTGAAGAAGCAAAGACTTGAACATTCAAGGCTAAACATTAAGGTTGTGAATGTTTCAAGTGAGAAGGGCGGTTAGTGGTGCGGGAGTCTTTAATGTTACTATTCAAGCACTTAGCAAAAAAAATTAAAATTAAGTGGGTCCAATTAAATAAATAGAACGCATTTAGCAAAAAAAGGTTTGTATTTTTTTGTTTGTTCATGGAACGCACTTGTTTTGTTCCACGGTCATTATGCAATGGTTAAAGTGCGCTTCCAG